AACGTTGTCACCGCTGCCTCCAAATGTTACAGTCACTAAACACACAAAAGCGAAATACATTTTAACACTGCTTTATTCTGGCAGCCATTGACACCAGCCTCACTGTTCTTAAAACACTTCGTCTTCCTCGTTCTCTGTCTTGCTCTACCGCTCACGTGCCGGTTCCCCGTGTTATGATAAACTACAGTATGATTATGAGAGACGCCGTAGTGGAGGAGCTCCGAAAATTTCGACCACCTTTTCGCCTCCATCAAAAATGCAGCCGCCGCAGCTGGCATTAGATCCCGCGACCTGGGAGCCAGCAGCCGAGTACCTTAGCCATTAGACCACTGCGGCGGGGGTAATGAATCAGAACTAAACAGCCCTTCAAAGAGGATAAAGTCAGAGCTACAGGCACGGCCTTGAACATAGGCATCTAACGCTGTGCCTCTAGGCGGGGGAGGGCAGACCTTGACTACTCTCCACCCCCTCACCTTTTATACGGCTAGCGACCCCCCTCCCCTTTTCCTTCTGCTGTGCCCACGCCTACGACGCAGAATATCAACAAATGTTTAGTTTATTGCAAATCAAAAGCAACGTGTAGACAGCAGAAATATGCGCAGAGAAATGTCACCATATATCTCAAGCAAGTCACACAACAGCAATAATTATATCTTGTGCACCTTCTCAGTGAGCTGTCTCCGAACGCACGCCACCTCAAAAACACCTTGTTGCTGAATGTGGAAACTTTCACTATTCTCACGTGCCTGCTGCTGAGTAACTGCGTGCTTTTCAAGAATTAGATGGAACCTGTATGGTCAGCCAAGTTATATACTTTTCCACTGAGCTAGCGAGCCGGTGCCCTTGACCGAATATTTATACATCTTCATGTATGGTCAATGTAGCGACGCACGCTGGTAAATGGCATATTGTGTGCTGCAGTTTGTTTGCAATGAAACTTTAGTAAGGGCTGCATCTGTCATCTTCACCTAGTTCCGTGTGAACTTTTGGTCACTACCGGGAATCACTTTGAGACAATTTTCTATAAATATTTGCTGAGAGGGGCAGGTTGTAAACGAGAAAACATGTTGTAATGTTCTAGCAATGTAACACAATATCGTAACTTTGCATGCCCGAATTCTCGTTTGTTTCGGCTGCAAGTCAACCATAAAAATGAAACTAGTTTTGCTTTCAATGGTAGGTTGGCTTCAAGTTGGTATTTTGAATTTACCTAAATAGGTCTAACTACAAGTAGTATGATACCATTACTTCCAACCAGATTTTTAAGGTGATAAAAGCATGGTTCGTCCTTGCAGTCTAGGCAATAAATGCACGCAGATGTACATTGCCTCGGTTCAATCTCTCCTGCGATTGGCGTTGATGCAGCAGTACTGTCAACCGTGGATATTTATACCTAAGTCTAGGGATTTGCAACCTCTTCTAAGAATTTGGCGTCTTTTTCTTAGATCTTGAGATTCTTGTAATGCTGTGTAAATGTCATATTATCAGCCTCGTAAATGCATTACTTTGTAGCTATGCTGTTTGAACTAAAAAGGCTGTAAAACAAAAATTTTGGCTATTTCATGTTCTTTCTACTTAAGAAGGTCTTGGTGTTCTGGTGGCCCGAGTGAAGGGACAGCAGTTCTGTGATACCATATCATATGCTCAATACTGGGGAAATTAAAGTCTGTTTCGTAAGAGTTAGCATGCACCCTCATAACGTAGGTGCCTTGAGTGACGGCTGTGCTGCAAAACGAAGATAAATTTACTCAGTACACGCCTTCACTGAGCAATGTCTCGATGAGAAATAGCTGGGAGGCTTAGAGAGGAGTAGAGCAAAAGTAGTATTGAAGATTGGGTATGGTGGGTTTCTCTCTCAACCCCTTATAAACAAAGTGGCATGAGTTAATATTGCAGAAACGGTTTGAAGAGAGAATAGACTTGTTCAAATGTTTTTAGTCTTTCTGTCGTGTCTTTTACATGACAGTGGAAAAGTGACTAAAATATTTGGCCAAACGGGGAGCTGATTGAAAGTACAGAGGAAAGGCATAGCTATAATCCGGTAAAAGAAAGCCCACATACATCTAGCGGAAATAATGCAACAGTAATTACAAATTTCGAAAAGTAAGTTTGCAACGCCACCTTAGCAGTTGCAGGTGCAAGAAAGGTGTTACAGTCTTGCAGTTGACCTGAATGAACAAACACAAGGAAAACTGATAGTTTTGCAACCTTTGTCCAATTTTCGCTTCCTCACAAAACCCTTTTCTGCTAAGACCCTAATAATGCTGATAATATGTTCAATTCATCAGACCTGCCTCAAGAAATCTACGTACCATACGAAATAAGTGAGGTTAGCCTAACATTTCAGGTTGGCTTTCACCACTAGGGCAGTGGGGGCACAAGAGGGCACAACAGCTATTCCCTGGACGACATTCATTGCCAGCCAGTCACTTTCTAGGGAGTATGGGACATTAGAGCTTGTAGAACTGTTCTGGTGGTGCTGCATTTTATAGTAGGGGCAAGAGGCAAACAGCCATATAAGAGCTGATTATTTGTTTATTTATTTCAAGTCTGACTGCCTTGGAATAAATTAATCAATCTATGTATCGTCTTTTGATAAGAGGATTACAGGGCTAAATGCTTGAGAGCTTTACGAGGTCCCGACCCTGTTGAAAGTTGGCAAAGCAGTAGGATAACAGTCATTCATGCATGAAAAATACATAATAAACTTTGCGCATAAAACAACGCATCAATCAATACAAAATTTTTATAACAAAGCACTGAAAACAAACAAAGAAGTCTTATAGTATATCCATGAATTCGCATGAGCATGAAAAGAAACAATCGACAAGGAATGGCCAAGATTCCTAGAAATGTATTGTCCAGCAAAATAAGTTAACTGGCTGAACTGTATAATTTGATTGTTTCGTATAAGCAAAAGATCAAAATCTTTGACGTTTATGAAGTTTGGTAGTGAAAGTACTATAGGACAATGACTGTTCATGCATAATCACATTTTAGGATGGGCACAGTATAAATTTTTTTTGCCTGGTGAGTCGAACACTTGTGTTTACGTTTAACTTAGCTAGATTATTTGCGGTATTGGTGCGATGCTTAACAATAATTTTAAATGGCTGTTTCGAGAGCTGTGGCAGTGTATGAGGTGTAAACTGAGGACTTCGAAAGTGCGTGGTCACGAACTATGAAGTCACCTTTTCTCTAGCCTCTAGTCTCTGTTGTCTTCGTGCTTATTTTTAGAACCTCTACAAGCACCTTTTATTCTATCAACTGCTACTTCGCATAGCTCTCCTTTAGCGCCTTATAATGTATTAATGAAAAATTAGAGCCCTCGAATATGCATGCTTTACATCAGTAATACTGAAGTTTTCTGTGCAATATTTTCAGATGCCGAGAATACGATGCTTCTAGAGTCACAAGTGCAACAAGAGAGAAGTAACACTCGGATATCTATTCAGACATTTTCGTGCGCACCATGAACATGAACGCAACTGATTGTGCAGTATCCAAGAATGCATGAGGACTTGCATCACGTATGGAGCTTATAGAAAGCATGCTTCGAGACAACACGTTGAGGCTTTTGAAAATGCCAACTCCCTGGAAGACAGTGAATATAATGTATTTATTCAGTATGTGACGTTTAATATAACTGAGGTGGATAGTAAGGCTTTGTTAGATGACCCTGATGTCCCAGGAACTTTCAGTGCTTCTGACACAGAGCATCGGCAGACAAGTTTGGCCAGCTAATCTTGTGATCAGTGAGACCTTTTAAATCGATTCGCAATGATGCAACTATAGTTGGAAAAAGGAAGAAGGCTACCAGATTCAACTTTGCAGGACATATCTACAAATGTTGTCTTGTACATGCAGGTGTGAGGATTCGAGAAAAACGACAACGACGAAGGTGCGGGACAAGGCACGTGCGATTACGAGGCAACTGTGCGCCAATCAGCTGATGACTAGCGGTGGCCCATAGAAGTGGCGTGCCACGATTGGGCCACGTGTGATCATTACGTGGCAGTAGGCTTTGTGGCTGGGGACGAGCCGGAGCAGCGGCAGATGGGAGACAGCGGGCCGATGCGTCGGACGCAGGCGATCCAGGTTCCGGCCAGGAAACGCGGCCGTCCACGCTGCTGCCGTCCAACCACCAGCTGGGGCGGCATTGCCGGCACGAGTACTGCATCCCGGGGCGCGGCCTGGCCTGCTGTTCTCTTCCTTGCCGAGGGCATCCCGGATCTCGGCGAGGCGTCTCCGTGGTCAGACGTTCGGCACAGCGACGGACGTGGCCTGGCTAATGGTCACGGTTGCGCCGAGCATCGCGTCTCGACGCAAGCTGTTCGCTGGACGGGCTGGCCATTTACACGCATGGAGCATCGCGTCTCCGATGCGGGTTGACTGCTCCGCAGTCGCACCCACGCCATCAAGCACCGGCGTCACCAGGGCGTCGCACATCGACAAGAGCCTCACCTTGTTCATGTGCCGTGGCTGAGATACGGACCCGGAAAAAGAAGAGAAGAAGAAGGAACGTGCAGTAAGGAGAGCTCGAGGGTTGAGGCGACGAAGGCAGAAGAAGCGGTGCGCCGCTCGAGAGGACGAGTTTCTGGCAGCGTTCCTGAGCTGGACGTGGGACCCGTACGTGTCGGCCAGGTCGAGCTCCGGTGTGTCTGTTCGAGGTTGAGTCCGTCGGCCTGTACAAGGTCCAAGGACGGGGCCTGCTGAACGGCTCTTGCCTGGGTGCAGTGGCCGGGAGCAGGTTCGTGGGCGAGGCCTACCGGGTGTGGTCCTCGTGAGCCGTGGCCTGATCCTGGACCTCAGGAGTTGCGACCCTGACTGCTGGGTTGGCCGCGACGTCCGACTCAACGGCGCTGCACACGGTAGCGTATCCGTGCGCCGTCAGCCGTTCCACCCACATCATCAAATAAGTTGTTCATGTTAATCCTTTCTCGTCCGCTATAAGCAAACATAGTGACGAACGTCCCTTACCATTACAGCAGGAATTTTTCGAGCACGTTTTATTAAGATCTTCTCAAGCGAAAGAAAATACAGCATCATTTCTAAACCATCAACTTGAACAGCTTCTCAACGAAAAGCAACGGAAGAACTACTGAAAGTTGTGTCTGCCCAGGAAAGTGCCCAGGATGTCTGGGCACCCCTTGTTTCATATTCAAGCTGAAGTTGTTCCACCATGACACCACTTCCAATGTCCACCTGCATCAAGATTCGTCATTAACAACAGGAAAGCTTGCACACGTGAAAGTGCTGCATGTGCAAAGCGAGAATTCGAAAAATGAAAAAGAAGCAGGAAGTTAATACACAGCTGGAACATTGAAGCCTAGTAAAAAAATTCGATACCTCTAAAGTCCAAGTAGTTTTCATGAAAACCTGAAACATGTTGTTTAACGGAGCCTCTGAGGTTACACACGTACCCTTTCTGTAATAGCATATTTGATACATTCTTTCCTTCAAAAAATACATGTCAGCAAAAGGATTCATATGGCTCATTCCACTCAAACTTTATGAATATGCCCGATTTTTAGAAAGCAGTTATGAGTGTTCTTGCTAATTGGGAAGCCTGACAAAAAACAATTGAAAATGATTGCCAAGGTTTTTATGAAGGCTAGTCACACATATATGCTGCAAGAAATTTACAGCATTCATGTAAAAATGTATTATTATAATTTGTGTGCACAAGTGTGCTATCACTCTTCAGCTTAGGGCAAGTTTGATCCAATCTCACTGAAATACTATTGCCAATCAGAGCAATAAGTACTACAGTCGAACACTGCTACAACGAAACTGATGGGGCGCCGAAAAAAATTCGTTATAGTAAACTCGAAAAAAGTATAGCTGATTTGAGCTAGCAAAACAAAGAAACGTTTATTCTCAAAATTCGAGAAGTGTCCGCTGATCCGTATTCTTTCCAAGCAGCGTGACGACGTGATTCTCACCCATGCATAGCGAGACCATGGTGAAAAGAACGCCAAAACAACGCCTACAACCGCTTTAGTGGACGAACAAAACAGTTGCACTAACACGGACGTTAACACCAGCAGCTTTCTGCCGCCAAAGTGTGTCCGACAATGCCGAGACGAAGGCAGAGTATCGTGAAGCGGCGACCTTTGCCTTAACCTGTGCCATTCTTATCCTCCATCACTCGTGGCTAGCCGATTTTTATATAATGCGGATGAACAGCTGCTCTGAATAGTTACCACACTGTCCATGCGTGAACAAAATGATAAGCATTGGCATCGGAAAATGCATCGTTCCACGGTTACACCGAGTACCTGCTTGAAGGAAACCAAGAACTGAGCGACTGAGCTTCAGCGTCATATCGTCTGCGGCTCAAAAGAAAAAACCATTGGTAAAAGCAGGGCAGTCTTATCGTTATCGCTATCGAGCAATGATGACGCCCATGCTTCCTGAACAGCGGTGATTTCTGGTGGTGCCAACACTGGGTTTTAGACTTTGTCAGCGCAATTTCAGGTTCTGAAAATGCAACAAAATGTTAAATATTGTGTTAACTGTATAGCAACAAATATCTGAGCCTGGAATTCATTCGTGAAAATTTGTTGAAGCGGGACGGGAGAAGAAAAAGTGTTCGTTGTGATGACAATATTTATGCAATGACTCCTGTGGACTGCTGATGGGGAACAGTGAATTTTTGTTGAAGCGGAAATTTCGTTGAAGCGACGTTCGTTGTGGTGGGGGTTTAACAGTAAATATAACACCATCACCTTCACTTGTGCCATCAACACTAGCAAGCAGTAGTGGGACAGTGAGACCTCTCCACAGCTAGAGAATGTATGGACGGTGCGCGACAATCGGGTGGTAAAGAAATATGCAATTCAGATGACCATAATAAAAAAATGAGCAAAAGCTTGCGTTGGTCTTTCTACATTCACTATGAGCAATCAACTTAGCAAATACATAGCATTATAAATGTGCCACTGAAAGCAGTGCTGTTAATAATGCTTTGCTTCAAATATGCTTGTTACTCTAATAAGAGCGAGAACAATTTTTTACTTAGACTTTTTATATTATGACTAATCTGAGTGTCACTTTGTGAGTCGAATGTGTCTCTTGCGAAGGCAGGTAAAGTGCCATCTGACACAGAGTTCATTATTATAGAATCCGAATAATTTCATGCTTGCGATTTGAATTAGTTCTTGGGCCCAAAAATTAAAGTACGCTCAGCATAATATTCTGGCTGCTGGTAATGCGAAACGCAACTAAAATAATAAATTGCTATCTGTAGAAAAGTGTAGAGGGCATTTAGTGTGATTTTATGGTCATTCGGTCATTCAATTTACAGAAGTTTCACAATATGCATATCAATTAGCCTGGCTAATAGCTTGCATAAAGGTGTGCACAAGTAGCCTTAGAAACATCCACTCTCTTGTGCGCCAGAAAGAAAACATGAAACTTTCAACACAGCTAAGAAATATTTTTTTTTTGAAAAAATTACGGCTTTGATCTGCTTCAGTAAAGTGTCAATAAACAACAGCATTATTACACGATTCACCAATTCTTAGCTTGAGCTTTTACTTAGAAATTTATGCATAAATATAAATATAACATGTGTAATTTCAACTCATATATTACATGGTCACATGATGTTAAACAAGTTTGCCACTGTAAAGAAAACAATGGCTTTGCTTCAATTCGATCACGAGAGTACGGTACAGTACCAAGCTTGTATGTGTTCAACACACTTTTTTCTATTTTACAGTCAGACCTTAGCAAAAACTTTAAAGCATTCCACAACTGGCCAAAATGTGTTTTTAGTTCCCAATGCAAATAAAAGGACATTATAGAGACAAATTTAGGCATCCTTTACGAGATTTTAGTAGATTCTTTTCAAAATGCTGAAATGTTGCAAGAGATATGATATGTCACACTACCTTGTGAAAGAGGCTCAATGTTTCACTATGGTGTCATCCCATAAGCAATATGTAGACATTGCTTTTAATTTACACACTGCAATTAGGGCTCAAAATTAGCATATCAGTATTATTATCTATCTCAACTTTATCTTGTGCTGTTTTGAAAGTCAACAAGTCCATGCTGAAAAGCAGGGCTCCATACATGGCAACTAGCGAAACATTCAGCCATGACACACGTAACAAGAAGTGCATGCATGCACAATGAACCACAGAGCACAAACATGAAGCACTGTAGTGCTCACCTCCCACTGTTTGCAACACAGAATCGCATAGTTGCCACAAATAGAACAATGTTGATCACAAATGTTTCACAGCATTTTGCACAATACTATTCCACAATTGGTCACTGAGCGTAAATTTTTTGTTGCAGTGAAAGCAGATACCCTAAACATTGGTTGTTGATCACTGAAGCTTTAAAATGAAATGAAAGAAAAACTTATCTAGGTTAAAGCCAACATTTCCCGCAATGATAGTAGCACCAGCTTGGTGAAACTCTTTTTACACTTTTTTGATCAATTTCAGCCAGCATATTCCTGTGAGCCTGCCTTGTTGAAGTTACCATAAAGCTACACACTTTTGTGCTTAATAATGGTTCATCATCAGTGGTCTTACGAATAGACAGTTCAATTCCGTGTTCATGTCAACTGAAGAGTACTAACGAAGTCAAATACAAATGAGGTACTATAACAGCCCTCACGACGTGCCCCTCTGAGGTTTCAACCTTTTCGATGATCGCTTTTAGTTTTTCAACCATGCGGCATGACTTTGAAATATGGGCCAGCGTTTTGATCAGATACAGAAAAAAATTTTACAGAAAAAGACTCGGAGCCACACATGCAAGCATACACAAACCCGGAAACTGCACTATGGCATAAAAAAGCAACTGAACATTTGATTCAATGAAAATTATTCCCATGGCCTTGTGTAGCAAAATCAAGATATGATCACAAGGTGCACAGTAACCACTTCGAGAGCTCTAGACTAAAGACTTTGACAATCTGAAGTTTTAAAGACGACAGTCTTTCTTGCAAAACTTCCAACGCAAAAATTTTGGTCTGTCTGTTTTTCTTCTATCGACTTGCTGTGTGTCATTCGAAACGGTTAACATACAACCGCATTCGCAGCATCCAGCAATATTGATCTGGTTTCGGCATTAATAATTGTGCTTATTGTCAATAAAAAATAAGAATGATTTGGTCTGCGAAATTGATCTTGAAGGCATAAATCAGTCAGAAAAATAGGCAAAAAAAGTCCGCTGTCCGGGCACAAGAGAGGTAATGTGGTGAACAAGTGTCGTGCTCATTTAGCCATTGACAAATAAACCCACTTGTTGAAAGTTACCATTCGTGTTGCGTTCTTCCCATTGTCCTTGTCCTCCAGGCACTTTGACGTTATTATGTCACACAAAAAAGGCTTAACATAAGCAATGGGCTTCCATAGTCTTTTAGTTTGTGTGACAGTAACATAATGGCTTACACTCTGATTTCGGAGCCATGAGTACACATGATTCTATTAGATTGGGGCCCACAACAGTGTGCAGAAAAGTTTATTATCATGTTTCAATCTATGAGCATTTTACATTGATACTGTCTGCTGTTGTCAAAGTTTTTTGGCTGAATTTCTCTATCAATAGCATGGGCTTCACTCTTTCATCACCACGCTTCAATCCAAGAGCATTTTACGTTGACAATGTCTGCTGTTGCCAAAGTTTTCAGGGCTAATTAGTGTATCAGTAGCATGGGTTTCACTCTTCTATAGGAATACAAATGGTAGACTACCCTCTGCATTTATCCGTCTTTGTGTGGCTAAATACTGTGAATAAAACAGTAAAAACGGTGGGAAAAGACCTCACACTGAAAATCTCCGAAAGAAGAGAGAGAGGTCACGTGTTCAGGGTAGGCACAAACTTGAAGGAAAACAAGGGAGACAGGAAAGAGCGGAAAGGCTGGAGACAGGAAAGGATGCGCTCTTTCTTGTCTCCCTTCTTTTCCTTCAAGTTTGTGCAGCAAATCAATATTTCAAGTATGAACCAACTAGTCTGCAAAAAAGTGTTGCTTCAGAGTAGGGGCACATGCTAGAGAATTTGTGGCATATGTGGTACATGTTTGGCACTCAGATTTATGAATGTCTTTAACCAAACTAGAGTCCAGAATTCTTAAATACAAACTATAAATGCTTACTATGATAGTTCTTGGCCTCTTCAAGGGCTCACTTTCACCTTTCGTTCTCTTGTTTGATTTCTCTGTTTTCTTTTCCGAATTGGCT